TTTGACGCATATTAACAACATGTTCTTGATGAATATAATATACAGATTGTCGGTGTAAGATCTCTTACAAATTGTAGTTCAATCACTTGGAGCACTATTACGTTAAAGTAAAAATTGTATCTTGAAATCCCGTTAATCCCAATAAATTCAATAAACAACATCGTATCATCAACTTCATCATCTTGATTAAGTTGAAAAAAATTTGGCCGGTGAAATTCAGATCTTATTAAACCCGTTCTCTTGTTCTTGTTAATTGTGCTTACATTTCATCAGCATTTTTAAGGCGGATCTCGAATTTTCGCATATCTCCCAGTCATTGAAATCTAGTAAATGGTACTCGTGCTCTGTGCTCCTAGCTTCATTTTTCACTTTCCCAACATTTCCTGATTTATATATACAGATGATTATACAAAAAATTATTTATTAAGCGACAATGACATTATACATCAATTCAACAAATCAAATTTAGTACGTGTATAATCTTACCTGCAACCGATTCATCCTTTATAGTACTATTGGGAACTAAAATCGTACCGTCCGATTTAACTAAAAAAATTGAAGTCCTAACAAGAAATAATCAAACAAATCGACTTAAAAATAGTACCAAACTCGTTCAGTTTAACTAAAATCAACAGGTTCAATTCGCCTAATTTCTTGAAATATGTGAAAGATACAACATGAGGAGTAGATCTAAATTTCTCTGTATCCAATCTGAAGACCTACCATTGAACTACATTTCTCTTGGTTGGATATAGGTATACCTAGATTCCAACACCTTATCGAGTCAATTTATTCAGAAATTCAAGATATTATACAATAATGCGTTATGCCTTCAACGATTGGTACGCCCATTTAGTAGCAATTGTCCATCACCGATATGTCTCGTACTGGCCTTTTCCTGCCACAACTCTAATCCAAATGGCGTGTTCTTCCTTCCCTATTCACGTCACGAACTTGAAAAACGTTTGGCATTGTGCCGAGTCATGCTAAACAATAGGTAGGTCTCATTTAATTCGTTTCACTGAAAATTGCCTCTACATTAATTAATTATATTTTCATGATATCATAGTAAATTCTCAAAACTGAGGGCCCTAATGTTAGTCACATTTATTTCTAGCTTTCAACGCAATGATGTTGAGACTTAAGCCAGTCTTCATAGCTTTGTAGCTTTCACTATATTCCATTATATATTTATGGTGCCTTTCCAAGCACAACCACCCCATGATCTCCCCTTCTGCTTTAGGGTAAAGGGTGGTTAGATAATTCAATGCAGGATAAGATTTCAAATCGTTTAAATACAATATCAATGATTATTATATAAGGTTTTTAGACCATCCATCTTAACAACTTAGGGTTTGTTTTCTTTATCATTTTCTTCAAAATAGTAAAAACGCGTTCTTTTTCCTATTTTCGAAAACGCATTTTTGAAAACAAGTTAAAAATTTACAAAGAAAATCCAAAACGACAAATTTGTCATTTTGGGTGTTTTCAGTTATAATCAACCCAAAATTTTCAAAACACGTTTTGTGTATTTTCTAAACAATTTTTCAAAATGCCAAAAAGAACAAATTTTCAACAATCTCAAAATGAACACTCAAAACTTCAAAACACAAAATTGAAATACAAAGAGAACAGTCCCTTAGATATTTCAAATTGGTTTGATTCGTCTGAAATTCAAAGAAGATAGTTAAATTTCTAGTTTGGTGTTCTCAATCGAGTTACCAACTTAAAATAGAACCCCGAAAATCCGTAGCTGGTGAATCTAATCAATGACTACTACCATTAATCAGCATCAATATTGGCCATATGAGTTGATGAGATGACATAGAATCGTGCAAATTAGCTTTTTCCTTCCGTGGGCATTAGGTATTGGCTAAAGAGAGATTGAAAACGAAATGTCCCAAGAAGAAAAAAAGTAAGTGTACAAAGCTTCTTTGACAGTTTGAGCTTTTTCTAAAGAGAAGCAAACATTGGACCACTACATAACATGGTTGGCGCATGAAATAATTAAAGTCATGAGATATCCTAAACACGACCTGCCTACTTTTTTCCTACCTCGTCCTTTCTTACACTTTACTTATAAAATTCATGTTTTTTATTATATTATTTCGACTTTTCTTTTGCACTAAATTATATATATTTATTACAAACTTTTATATGGATATGATACTCTTGAATCATTTTCAATATAATGAAAAGTTAACTCTATTTTTGTATTGAATGAATTTGTTTACATTGCATTTTTAATTATTTGAGCTAACATGGCTTGAGAAGCGCAAATAATACATGTCTATTTAAAGTAGATTTGACCGACTAGACTTTTTTCTTGTATGCCTAGAAAATAGAATGTCGGTCAAAGCCTTTATCTCCCATCCAAAAATCTTGATCCATTTAAAATCACAACTTTTTACCTTTTGACATGGCTAATATGAAATCCACGTTGAATCAAGTAAGAGTCCACATTGATTGGTCAAAGGAGCCTTTTCGTCAAGAGATTGGACATATAAACTTGGAACATCGATTAAAGACCCTGTCAACACAGGTCGAAATTGGACCATTTGGCAACACTGTCCAAATCCACCAATCAAGAGGAAGTCATGATGATCTAAGGTACAAGTTTAAGGCTCGCCACATCGAACTCTCTAGCCAACTGAATCCCTTCAAGATTGGTAATGGCACACAAACTTACGTCGGACACCGTAACTTGATATGATTGGGATGACAAGTTGTGTCTGAAGGCCTATATAAAGGGGTGATGGACAATTGAAAAAGGGACACGTTCAAAATCTCTCTATAAAACTAATATACAAATTACATCCTTATTTTGTCTAGATTCCAGTAAATATAACACTCCTATTCCGTTTAAATCTCTATAAATTGATGAAGAAATGACACATCATTTTTTATCATCAACACGTTCATTAGAAACCAATGCGTGTAGACCATGACCTTAACTTGGAGGGTGTTGATAATTATACACGTAACCACAAGTAAACTACAAAATTGGGTTGTGGGGTTGAAAGCTTCAATTGGCAATAAAGATGATATCAGGGTCCACGATAGCCAACACCCCATGTGAGAATTTGGCCTCCCTTTTAAAGGGAAAAACGAAATCCAAGTGATTACTTAAAGCTAGGCACATTAATTAAGTCCCTAATCTTCTTGTTCTTGTTTTTTTTTTTTTTTAAGCTAAGCACTTTTTGTTGGGAAAAAAATATGTTTTGCTTGTTTCACGAGTCATTATAGAGTTTACTCTAGTTTGATTCGAATGTCAAAATGTTTGACTTAGCTTATAAACTCGTTAATTTTTTAAAGCAAAAGCTTTAATATCAACTTAACAAGCTCAAAGTCATTGTTTGGTTGCTGCTTTTGTGGCTGCAGCAGTCGATCAACTTATAAAATAAAGTATGTACAATTGAGATGGAACTATAGTATCTCAACGGAAGGCTTTTGCCGTTTAAGTAGAATTTCTTGTATAATTGCAAGCTATAATTTATGAGATTTATGCGCGACACTCGTAAAAGTACTTGTAAGAGTCTGAAATTTTACCCTAGACTACTATAATATGAAGAGTTCATTGGTACCACACGATGATGGATTTGAAACAATGTTGAACACTATGAGAGTAAAGTTTAGGACGTTAAGAAAAATAATTAAAAATTTAAGTTCGAATTTGATGGGGATTAAAATGAGAGTTTTAGTAGATGTTGATAAAATTTTATGAAATATGTGATTGAAAATTTGTAGACCTCATGAAATATGTTGTTAAAATCAATTATTAACTTTGACTTAAATTAAAATTTAGATATTAATCCCTAGTAAATAAGGGCTAAAAGTATGATAACCACACTAGTGGTGGTAAACGAATCCATCGACCAGGACGAACCGTAACTCGACTCGACTCAACTCAACTCGAAAAAGTCCGAGTCAACTTGGAGCTCATTTATACGAGTCAATGCTGGGACCAAGCCTAAAAAACGAGATTTGGCCCTATCTTAGGCAAACCCGCGAGTTGCACGAGCCAAATACAGATCAGCTCGTGTGACCTGCCTTTAAATCACTAACATAATTAATTTTGTTAGTTTATAAATTAATGATCACTTAATTTGTAAAATTCAACAACTTGCATAATCAATTTTGTAGTTTTTAAATTAATTTTATATTTTGTAATTAAATAATTAGTTTTTCATATATTCTAGTATAATAAAATTAAAAAAAATCTAAAAAGCCCGTGAGCCGGCTCGGCTCGACAAAGGATCGAGCCAAAGCCCTGACCAAACCTCATTTTTTAAGAACGAGTCAAATTCATGCTCGACTCAAGTCCAAAAAAGCTAGGCAAACCAATACCGACACCGAGCCCCAGCTGGGTTGTCGGCTCTAATAAATTAATATTTATCATAGGTATCCCCATCCGTCAAATTTAAAAGAGCAAAATCCGTTACCAAAAATCCAGATCATCTTCTCAAAATTATCGCCGCCTCTTTGTCTCTCTCAAAGAACAAGCGAAGCGCAGGCTGCCCAACTTAAAAGAACAGCACCAATACAAACAGAACTTCACCATTCCGTACAGAGAGAGAGTAAAACTGAAAAATGTAGAGAGAGAAATTATCTGCTCGTTCTCTGTCAAGCTATGTATGCAAAAATGAACCGCATATACATACAAGTATAAATTTTATATTCGTTATATATATATATGTGCATAGCTATAAATCGATACAGAGAAATTTTCGAGTTTTTGTTAATATACAGTGGATCTTGAAACCCTAACGGAGAAATCTTCATTAATCTTCAATAAATCATTTAAGAAAGCACTTGTTGGGTCCAATTCGTTTCACATTTCGCCGAAGATTCTCGAGATTTCACCTTGCATTGAAATTTCGGCTTGTTGAATTCGAAGGAGTTGGTGAAATTAGTTATTTGAAAATATTGAGAGTTCTTCTTTGGTTTGGATTGGAATTTTCGGGAAACTCATTGATTGAGAAAAGAGTAATAATAGAGGAATGGATGATAGAGGAGGAGGATCGTTTGTGGCGGTGAGGCGAATTTCGCAAGGTCTTGATCGAGGGAACACTTGCCATTCTACTTCTGGTATACTATATTCCATTTTCTTGTACTTTCCATCTCTCTATATTTTTTATGTTTCTCTCTCTCTGTCTTCACTTTTCGGCAAACTTTATATCCATATCTTCGTCTATTTGCGCGCGGGGGAGTGACTCTTCACGTAGGTATAACTGTATTTATGTGTACACTGAATATTCTGGAGTTCTAGATCTGTGAATTTGAAATTAGGCTAATTCATGCCTACTTGCGTCGAGATTCTTGGTTAGTTCCGTATTTATTATTCTGAATTTGTTTTCAATTATTTATGTTCTTTACTAACACTCCTTGAATTACCGGAAATTATTTGGTCCTGTTCTATTTGTATTTGTTTCGAATTTTTTTGCATTTAGTGAATATATTTTTGTAGCTCGAGGTCTTTTCTGTCACTTTGTAACTGTGCGTCGAGGTGATAATACACACTAATTATATGCTATTGTCGCATAATTGCTAGAGGATACTAAATCAGTGTAGACGTGTGAACTTCTGTGCTTTAATAGATCATAAATTGAGCATATCATCTATGGAATAGTTCTTGCCTAAACCACGAGCTATATTTTTCTTCTAAACATTTTATATCTGAGATTTTTGTTGTTATAAAACAGAGCTCATGTTGCCGTCTTTCAATTACTAATAGTAAATAGTCTTTGTCATACGCAATTTACTTAAATATTTAATTAATTTTTTAGAGAACAAATAATTGTATTTTTTACTGCATACGTTTGAAATGAAGTAAACATGTGACAGAACCATTTTTTTTCCTTCTTATTTTGTTGCTGCAATACAGTTATGCTTAGCTATGTTTGCATTGATGAATGGGTGGAGCATTGCCATTAAGCTGCACATCACCATTCTGTGTTCATCTGCAGTCAAAAAACAGCATTCGAACACTACATGATTTGGGTTTTTGTATCTACTGCAACTAGACATCGTACTATTTTCCATTTAAATGTAATAATTGTTTAATTGTCTATAAATGTAACCTAATACTATCGAAATTAAGCATATGAAAACTTTCAGATACAGAGAGGTACTTCCCTGGCATAAAATGTTAAAATTTCTTATTGTGTTATTTGTTTTTTGCGAGATTGATGTTTGCAGAGTTATTTCCAGTTGCAGTTTTATTGTCCATATGATATGTGATCTAATATTCCCCTCTAAAAATGTAATTGCTGGACAGTTATTGGTGTTTAGAGCATAATTCTCCCATAGTACCCTTATATCTAGCCAAGCTGATTATTTTTTTCTTTTGGCTATTGATTGTTATGATCAGACCTAGAATGAGACGAGCTTCTCATTAAAAGCTACATACGGTTGAGTATTTAGAATTTGAGTTCAAAAGCATGTAGATATAACTGTGGCATGTACTTTTTGGAGGAAGTTGACTGTTAAGTTATTTTTTTTATAGCTTTTTGTTTCTTAGCATATCTTACTTATTCAGTCTCTCTATAGAATTCATAATATGCCATGCCCATTTCTTTTGCCAACATATTCTTTGCCAATTTTTGTTACAGTGGAGGTTGTGGCAGGATCAGCAGCATGGTTAGGCAGAAGCCTTTCATGTGTTTGTGCTCAAAGAAGAGAGAGTGATGCTCGCCCATCATTTGATTTGACCATTTTGCAGGTAATTTCCTGGTTGGTTGGAGTTCATTGAAATTTAGTTTCATGCTACTTGTTGAGGTCAATTTGTGGGATAGCACGTGGTCTAAAGCAAGTCCCATTTGGATATCAATGTTCGATATTATTGACTACTTGGAAGTTGGAATATTGATTTCTTTGGCTTTACTCTCCATACCAAACTGAGAGTTTCATAAATGCATGTATTTATGTATTAAATACTCGTTCCTGTTTAAGTTTGTATATGAGCAACTGAAAAGACTAGTGTGTCTTTTGAGCGATTGACTTAATGCAGTTAAAAGAAGTACTTTTCTTCTTGGCTTTTGGTTTTGTTCTGTTTGATTAATCATCTTTTTGGCCTACGAATCTATAACTTAAGCCATTAGATCTTGATGTCTCATTTCATTTTTTGTGTCAGGAGGACTGCCTACAGAGGCTACAGAATCGAATAGATGTTAACTACGACAGTTCTCTTCCTGAACATCAGGTGTGGTTTAGGGATATGTAGTGCATGATAACATCATTCTGGATGGTCAGATTGGAGAGGCCTCCTTCTATTTTGAGATTTTTGAGGAGTGCTTCTCTTTCTCAATGAGTAAGCTTTTGTCTGTAGGAAGCACTGAGGGCACTGTGGAATGCAGCCTTTCCCGAGGAGGAACTCCGAGGTTTAATATCTGAGCAGTGGAAGGAAATGGGTTGGCAGGGAAAGGATCCATCTACAGACTTCCGGTACACTATTATTTTCTTCAACTTTCTTCATATTAAATGAAGTTTTGACTATAATTTTTATGGTTGTTATGCCACGATTTTGTAACCTTCAAATGTGATGTGCTCTTTTAGGGGCGGTGGTTTCATATCTCTAGAAAATTTATTATACTTCTCAAGAAATTTCCCAGTATGTCCATCTCTCTCTCTCTCTCTCTCATCGTGATAATGTTCGTTTTTCTGTCTAATGTGTTTGATCTAGCTTATGAACTTCAGTGTGATAATTACTGCAGAATGGCGCCTCATAGATAATAAACCCTTGATGAGTGTTTTTTTTTTTTTTGTATCATATTAATTTGCATATCTAGAAGAATGGCTGGTAGTTCTCACGATTGCTCTTTTTTTATAGTAAATGTTTGCAAAATTGTTGCTTCTGCATAATACAAAATCTGCCAGAAAATTCACGGTCTTGCAATCCACTGCCCCACCTGAATGGTTTGAATATAATTTTTGGTTGTCATTGAGATCTTTCTTTACTTGGGAATTTGATCCTAGGTTGCATTTACATACCTTCTTGCTTTGGACTGTCCTCACTTTCATGATCATTTTTTTTTGATAAGTAATCAAATATTTTATTAATCAAAAGATAATACATAAAAAGTGTATTATCAATTTAAATAAGAAAGGAACAACATGAAATTGGGCATCCCATCTATATGACTTGTAGCCGCATCACTAAACCAAGTATACAATGTCAAATAAAACAATTCTCAAAATAGCGACAATTCTCTAATCTGCTCAGTGCTCTGTTGTCCGTGTTTGATCATCAAAATAGCAACCGTTTCTTTCTCTTCACACACACCATACGATGCAACCCAAAATAAGGTCCAAACAATCTTGCTATCCTTATCGCAAACTTTCTCTTTCATGCCTTTAACACATTTTCATTTATCTTGGCAACACCCAATCCATGTGTTGAGATGCTAGAATATTGTTCCACAGCAAACGAGCAACATCATAATGATGGAATAAGAGGTCAATCGTCTCCCCATCCTTCCACATATAACACCACTCCGTAACGTAGAGACCCCTTATTCGAAGGTTATCTACCGTCAATACTTGTCCCCTGACAACCGTCCATAATAAAAATGTCACCCGCGGAGGCAGTTTACATTGTCAAACCATCTTCAAAGGGAATGAACTCTCCACAAGTCTCAACAAAGGATCTAAACTTAGTGCCAACGGAATAAAAATCATATCGTGTCAGCCTCACCTGCTACAACCACCCTCTCCTACCTTGATGTGCACCTTATACAAAGATGTCAAAAAAAACGCATAATCATCCAATTCTCAGTCTTGCAAGTCCCTTCCAAAAACAATGTTCCAACTGAGACTCCCGTTGTGTATATCTAAAAAATCATTCACCATAGCAGACTGCACCAAAGCAATATGATGCAAAGAAGGAAATCCTACCCTTAGCAGTTGATCTCTACGCCAACAGTCATCCTAAAAACTGATAGTATTACTATTCCCCACCACAAAAGTCAATCTATCCCGAAAGTCACTCTACACTTATTGGATATATTGCCATAAGCTCACCCCATATGAACTAGACCTTCGACTGAGCATCATCGCCCCTATAACACCACATTTCGCCTCTATAATTTCTCTCCAAAAACTCTCCATCTCCACTCCGAATCACCACAGCCACTTACCCAACAAGGCCTTATTAAACAATATAAGGCTTCTCAATTCGAGACTCCCAACCTTTTAGGAGACCAAACTGCCCCCCAATTAATTAATCAAGTGAAATTTCCTCTCTTTCCCTAATCCTCTCCAAAGAAACTCCCTTTGAATCCTCTCTAATCTATTTGCCACTACAACATAAATTGAAAACGATAACAAGAAATAAGTAGGGAGATCCGATAAAGTAGACTTAGTGAGAGTAAGACGACCTCCCTTTGAGAGGTACATACGCTTCCAACCCGCTAGCCTCCTCTCCACCCTTTCTATAATATTGTTCCAAATATATGTATACATTTAAACCGTACTCTTAAAGGGAGCCCAAGATATGTCATAGGCAGATGCGCAACCCTACAACCCAATATAGCAGCCAACTCCTCCACATTATCAACCTCTCCTACTGTGATAACCTTAGATTTTCCCAAATTTATCTTCAATCCAGATACAGCTTCAAAGCACAGAAGCAGAGACACAGGTTCCCGAGTTGCTCAACGTCTGCATCACAGAAGATCAACGTATCGTCTGCCAATAATAAATGTGATACCCGTTGCTAATCAATCATAAAGCTCCCTTAACAAACTCTCCCCCACAGCCTTCTCAAGCATCCTACTGAAAGCCTCCACAAACAACAATGAAGACAAATGATTCACTTCCCTCAAACCTCTACTACACCGGAAATATCCCTCAGGAGTGCCGTTCACCAAAACTGAGAATGAAACAGTAGAGATACAAAACTAAATCCACTGATATCACTTATCCCCGAAGCCACCAAGTTCACGTGATCAATATCAAGCTTGCATAACATCCCTGGAACCCTTAGACATAGTCTTGAGTCAATGCATTCATTTGCTATAAGTACGGAATCCAAAATCTGACACCCTTTGACAAAAGCATTCTAAAACTTAGATATCTCTTTCCCCAACACCTCCTTTAATCTATTGCTAGAATTTTTGCAAATACTTGTACACCCCACTTACTAAACTAATAGGACATAAGTCCTTAATATCCTTCGCTCCCGATTCATTAGGAATTAGCACTATGAATGTAGCATTAGAACTTCTCAAAAACCCGCGACACTAAAAGAAATAAGTACATCCATAATATCTGGTCATACCACTTCCTAACAAATCTTATAGAATAAAAGAAAGAGAATCCGTCCGGTCTTATCGTCATTCATGTTGAATACCACCTCCATAATCTCATCCTCCCCAAATGGTCTCTTTAACCAACTAGCATCCTTCTCAATAATAGTAGAAAAATCTAGCCCCTCCAACTGTGACCTCCCGTCAAACTGCTCCCAATAAAGATTTTGATAGAAACTCACTATTTGGATCCCAATATTCTGTGGGTCCTCATAAGTAATCTCGTTTACCTCTAAAATAGTGATATAATTGTTGCAACGGTTGGAATTAGCGTCCCCATGGAAAAATTGGGTGCATTTGTCCCCCTCTTTTGACCACTTGACCCTAGATTTTTGGCGCCAAGCAATCTCCTCCATCTCTACCAACCTCTCCAACTCTCCTCCTAACTCTCCAAATCTCTCCCTCTCATCCCCTACCAGTCCTCTCTCCTATCCAACTCTTCTATATCTGAAAGGCATTGATTTTTACAACAGTTAACATCTCCCACCACCTCTTCATTCCACCTCTTTAAATCCCCTTTCAAGGCTTTCAATTTTCGATCTAACATATAGTTAGGAGGCCCCTTGAAATCATAAGAGGCCCACTAAGTTTGTATTCGCTCCCCAAAACCTTCCACTTTTAGCCACATTTTCTCAAACCTAAATGGCCTTCTTCCACTCCATCTCACATTCCTAGTTCCCATATAACGAAATAGGAAAATGATCAGAATACGCCCTTCCCAATCTCCTCTGAGTGCTTTGGGTACTTAGCCTCCCACTTACCAAAAATCGATCTATCCCAGATAGAACGGGTTGGTCCCGATTAGATAACAAAGTAAAATCTCCCCAATCATAGGCAAGTCCACCAACATATTCTCCCTGATAAAATCTGAAAAGTCCTCTATAGCTCCTGTTAATGTCCTACCACTAGACCTCTCAGTAGGAAACTGAAACGCATTAAAATCACCCCCAATACACGTTGGGAGGTTCCACCAAGCCATCATACCAGCTAACTCATCCCACAATCTACCTCTAATCTCATCAACATTAGGCCCATAAACTTCAATAAACATCGAACGGAATCTATCCCCAATATTTCTAACTAAAAGCGATGGAGAAAATAGCCCTTTACTAACCTCCTCCATATCAAAGACTCTAGTGTCCAACATGACCAGCACACCTCCTGAAGCCCCCTCAAACTGATACCTGACATGGTGTCCCCCCATAAGCTACTCACAATAACCCTTGAAACGACCTCCAACTTTGTTTCTTGTAAGCATACAAGATCGGCCTTCCATCCTCTTAATAGATTTTGAACACCTAACATTTTCCCAACTTCATTCAACCCCCTCACGTTCCCACTAATTATTTTTGGAATCATCTTAACGCTTCGTCATCCCTCTCCATCAATCCTCAACTTGACTCGCCACCTTTGACGTCATAATTAACCGAGCATTCGAGTCGCTTAAACTCACGATTACCCTTTCTTCTTTCTTACCTCCTGGTGTACCCATCCCTTGTCTCTTACTAACCTCATGTTCCTCAAATAATTGCAAGAGTCCATTTCCATACCCATCGTAGGACACACCTACCATCTTGATGAAGTCCAAATTTTTTTGAAGAACCCAATTTGACAATAGAGGTCTAACGCCAAGTACATAAACTTTCGCTATCTCCTCAGCGTAAAGAGGATCATAGTGTCCCTCCTCTTCCTCCATCTTCACTACATCACTGTCTATATCTCCCTTCTTGGCACCATTAACCCATTCCACCAAAGCTTCATCATTCCCTAAATCTCCCTCTTTTAGGGACTTAGAATATCTCGTATAGTAGGTGTTCACTACCATAGTTGCTGAGCCTGTCGCCCATTGTTATTTCTTAATTGTCAATGTTGATCTTTCTGCCAATATAATTCTGGCCTCTTACTCCATTGCCGACACTAATCCCTCTACTGGATTTGTGTCCAACATACCCACAATCGTTGAACAATTGTCTTTGGTCGCATCCAATATCTCTGACTCCGAATTCAACATACTTGGCTCCCCTTCCTTAACCCAAGATTCCACCTCTTACCACTTTAGTCCACACCTGAGACTCACCACTTGGTCCAACAAACACCTGATTAGTATGTGTCTAGTTCGATGTCAACTCCTTAGAAAAAACTATCATATATACTTTCTGTATTTGTTTCCTTAGACTTATGCAACGTTAGTTGTCCTTATTAGGTCCCGAAATTTAGCTCATGTGGGTCACTTCTCTCATTTACCGCCCTTTCCTTAAGCAACATTACTCGTTGATCGGCGTTCTGCAGGGCTCGTATGCTCATCGTAACTCCTTTCTTCAATTGTTCGACTTTTTACCTTATCTCCGGCAACAAAGGAATCGATAACTGCTTGAAACACATGCAAAACCGATGCCCATCTCCATTTGCACCTTGCGGCAACATCACAACTCCCTTCTGGCGCCTCTCCCTATAGTGCTATCATCAAATACCTAACACGACTGTTAGCATAGTGTTGTACCCAAAAAGCTCGAGAAGACTCATACTTAGCAACGAAATCCTCCAACTTGCCAGCCCCCCCCAACTTCTCAACATTTTCACCATCCAAACAGCTCCAAATCTCCTAGTGCAAATTTTGTTTGATATCTTCACCCCTATTCCAATAGCTTAACAATGCCTAAATCGCTAACTGACACTACGAACTCCTTCGCCTCCACCCTAAACCGAGTACTGAAAACCATCAAACCAGCAGCATAGGATTGTTTCATCTGATACTCTACATACGAAGCAATTGATGATAAAACAGGCATGCGAGATTGTCTGGAAGCTGCGTGGTGACTCTGCACAAATTCCGACGTCCATGCACCAGCACATGCGTCCAGATCGGCGCGTACACTTCGCGGCAACTTGGTTGTGGTCGGAATGGCTGCAAGGTCGACTAGGCAAGCGCTTGGGTCCTAATGTTGGCCGGATATTTGATATTCAGTCGAACTCCATGGATGGGGCCGTCGGGAACCTCCATATTGCCATTGCTTGTGGCTCCGTCGCTGGATCCATTATAACGATCGGCGGAGCTAGGGTTGACCACAGCCTGCAGGTAGGACTGGCTATCTCTTTGTGGCGCGAGGCCGGTGGTTTTGGTATGTCCGGTCAAGGCTTTGAGGCCGACTCTAATGAGGCCTAGACCGGTGGTTGTAGGTAATGGTTGGGTTTTGGATTTTGGGGGAGAAGTTTCCATCCTAGAGAGAAACCTACATCTAGCAGGGGGGGGGGGGGGGGTGGTGGAAGGAGAATAGAGTAAAACAATCTGCAAGTGTAATTACAAATATTCGAATAGAAAATGCATCTTCATGGTCTTGTTTCTGCTAACAAGTATTAATGTTACTTGTTGAATTGAAGTAGATTCAGTTCAGATGTTTGAATTGATTTCTTTTTTATCTTAAAATATAATACTTTCTTTCGGTTTTTTATTTTGGAAATTTGGGGTAGAAAGCCTGCATATTGGTTTCTGTTGGCTTGAGTAAGGAAATTTCTGCGGGACCAGAAATACATTAGAATAAGAGGTGGCTTTATGTTGCATGGTATGTAGGCTGCTTTTGGAAAGGTTAAGGAACATGCATGTACATACAACCTTCCTCCTTGCCGTCGGATTTGTTTTGACATTTTTTATGGGGGTTTATGAGTCCAAAATTCTGCCCACAGGATTTTCCATCAATTTTGGTTCATCTTAGCTTTTTTCTTTTCCTTTCAGTGGGATATGCAAGTTAATGTTTGTTATCTTATTAATTTTTTCCTGCAGAAATCTTTTCAGGATCTTCTTCGAAAGCAGGAAGGTGATCGAGCATTATGGGAATACCCATTTGCTGTAGCTGGGGTCAACATCACATTTATGCTTATTCAGATGCTTGATCTTGAAGCAGGTGAATTTTTTTTATCTTGTTGCCAGAAAGGACCTTTCAATTTTGACAACGGACTACTGTGTGACCAAATAACAAGTTTTGTGATTGCTTTATCTTTATTGTGGTTACTGTCAAAATGTACTTGGATCCCTACACACCTTCGCGACCCCCTAAAAAAAGGAGAAAAAATAAAAAAAATAACGATCAGAATCCAAGATTGACCTTTGTGGAAATGGAAATAATCTTTGTCTTTAGTTCTTGGCAAATGCTTTTCAGGGATGTGAATAAATTGCAAGAATGCAGGCCATACTTTTCCAGATTTCACTTACATGTGCAAACAAAAAGATACTAGTAAAATCTTGAATGATGACTCAGAGAATAATCCCACAACATACCAGAGATTTTGAGTGCTTGATGTTTGTTCATCAGCTGACCTTTTGTCTTACGAATGCAGTGAAGCCTCGAATGTTGGTAGGAGCAACCTTCTTGAAATTTCTTGCAGGTACTAACCTCCGCTCTCACCTTATTGAATAAAAGTCTGTTAAATTTGATATTGAAAAGGTGTGGTTGTTTTTGTGTTCTGCTCATTAGATCAAGTAAGCTGATATTTTAGGTGCCTATTTGATTGTTTTTTGTGTGGATAACTCACAAATTTGGCGAAAAATCCTTTGTTTCCTAAAGGGAACTTGTTTTCGTTAGTTAAAGCGTGAATTCTTCCTGCTTTCTACCTGCCAGAGAATGAATCAGCATTTGACCTTCTATATTGCATCACATTCAAGCTAATGGACCAACAGTGGCTAGCCATGCATGCTTCTTACATGGACTTCAATGTAAGTTTCTCCTTTTTGTTTGTGATTAAAAATAGTGTTAAAAGTACATTTTCTTCTGCCTGCATCCCGTCCATCTCTAGTGGTGCTGTAGAAATTTCTGGGTTTTAGGTTTTGGTAACTCAAAATAGGACTTTAGAAAGTGCATCAGGACTGGGAAATGAGCTACTGATATCGTATTTGCTAATTTTAGGTCAGCCTTTTCTACTTGAGATAGCCACCGATTATGATTCTCTTGTATTTAGAACCTATGAACTAGTTCTGTTATTTTTAGAGAAACGATGACTATTACTATACCATTTGTGTGATTAGAACAACATAGAAAAATATGTAAATTTCTGGTAATACTCTTGTACCAAATTTATCTCTACAGTTAACGTCTTGTCATATAACTTCTATAACTGTTAACCATGGCACATTTATGATCCTCTACATTTTCTTCTGCTTACATTTTATTTGTGAAGGATTACTCCATACCATTGTTTTGTTGTCTTCTGTGGTTCACTCAGACTGTGATGAAAGCTACTCGTCATCAACTGGAAACAGAGCTTCTGCAAGAAGACGTTACATGCCTTGAAGACTTGCCCTCATACAGTCTTCTTAGTTGATAGTTATAACATCTGTAACATTTTTGAAAGACAAATGGCCTTTTATGATAGATTTGTGATCTAATGGATGCTTCTCTCAAGTTCTGTTGTGCCTTGCTCCTTTTTAGTGCTTTAACTAGATTGTTGTTGGGGCTCTCCGATGTTAGATTTGTAGGTCATTGTGCTTTCTTGCGAGTATGGATGAAATTGAATTGAAACAAGTAATTTGAGTTGCTATATCGTGATTGCTCTAACTACTGGATTTATCCAAATACCTTGTTCTTGCTGCAAGCTTCAGGAGCAAAATAATTTCAATCACCCGCTTGATTGATCAAATATATTAACGAGTTGGGGTCTGATTCAAACGAGTTATTTTTGAATATTGCAATCATGGATAGTGAAAAGGCTGAAAGTAATAGCTACAACAGCAACTTTATTACGTAACATGTGAAATTGTTTTGGCAGGGAATCATCTCCAGACGTAAAAACTTTGAACATGCAGCTACAACCATTCACAACAAATTAGCCATATCCGAAAGTACAGATCAATTCGAATGAAGCATTTCACTCGTTGATCCAAGGGTAAAGGCTGCTCTTCCATTCTGCAATTCCTTCTGGGAACCAAAGAGCAATCTCCTTCCTTGCACTCTCAACTGAATCACTACCATGAATTACGTTCCTGCAAAGGGTAAAACACGTTTCTAAGATAAAATGCAAAAGATACCAGAACATGATAATGTTTTACGACTAATAAAACCAAATAATATAAACCTACGAGTGTTCAGGCACTACGCATCCAACATAGGCCTAGTCGCCTAGAATACCTTTCTATTAACAAAGCAAATTAGTATTCTTACAGTCTTATTGATGCAATTATAATTTGGTATTGGCATCAGCATAAGAATCAGAATCTAACCGGCCAATGTCGATGGCATAATCACCACGGATGGTTCCAGGAGAAGACTCGGCAGGGTTGGTGGCTCCAATAATCTTCCTGCCAGTAGTCACCACATTCTTACCCTCCCAAACCATTCCAACAACAGGGCCAGATATAATGTACTCAACCAGCTTATTGAAGAAGGGCTTTGCAGATAAATCAGCATAGTGCTTCTCAGCAAAAGGGCGATCCACAGTGATGAGCTTCAAACCTGTAGCCAAAGAAAATTCATAACAAGGGAAATCATAAGTAGAAAATAAATCAAGGTTTTTTTAATAGTCAGTGCCAAGAAATATTTAGTAGTGTTATCCTCCTCCCCTCTGAGCAGACGGTTATAAGGAAAGATTTGCATGAAAGAGGGGGAAGCATATGGAATTTTTGACAATGCAATTTGGAAGACCCCATATATAAGCTTGAACGTTGCCACCCATCCAAATGCAATGATTTTCTTTAATATGAATTACAAGGTGAGATCATTTGATGAAAAGGCACGATCAAACGAAAGGAAACAATTTTTGCATGATCACTATAGCCTCTCTTTGACAAACATTAAAGAGAGTTTTTTTTTTTGGAAAAATGAATTTTGAAATAGTGATTTTTCGAAGAATGTGTGGTTAAAAAGTAGGAAAATTTTTCGATTTACGTGCATTTTTTTTTTTGTGAATGCGCGATTGAAAATGAGTTTGAGAAAAAAAGGTGTTACAAGAAAATGGATGACAAACAAGGGCTTAATTGAACTGAAAAAAGTCTTTCAGAAGTGAAGGTCATCACTGAAGTTGAGACACTGCTAGATTAGAATGGTTACAATGTACATCTAGCATAATTATACAATGTTTGAGCCATTCCCATTTCACTTTAACTTTAAGGGTTTGTTTCATTGACGAAGGTGGAAAGACTTTTCAATTCCATGTAAGTTGAAAAATAAAAATCCAAGTACCCCATAAGAATGCATTTTCTATGAAATTGATAAAAAAACAAGCATAAAGTGGTTGTACATTGGAATTTGAACTCCATTTTCATTTTCGTATCAAACAGCGAAAGAAGAAATTGAATTCCTCGGATGTGACATTTTCCATGGAATTTAAATTAATCAAATAGACCCTAAAATTAAAATAAGATAGACCAGCCCACAATTTCGGCAACTACCCCCATCAAACTATTTGAGCCCACTCATTATCAAATGGATCATGGTTACATCCAGCAAGAGATAAGATATTTAACTCCATTTTGATAACCATTATTTTGAAAAAATGGAGTTTTGAATTGTGATTTGTTTGAAGAATGTGTGGTTAATAAATAGAGAAAAATTTTGGATTTATGTGCAAAATATTTTATTGTGTAAATATACGATTGAAAATGAGTATGAGAATTAAAGAGTTTTGAAATAATGATTATCAAAGCAGGTTAGTATAACCCAAGCCTCGAGCTTATAACCCGGGTCCTTTCCCCTCCATAAAACTTGGGTATTTCTTGGGGCTCAAGCTTATTTTCAAACTTTGTCTATAAAGTTATTACTGCACTTGATCATAGTGAGATAGAATCCCTAATTTACTTAAAAGTAATTTACTTTTCTTTTAAACTTAACTAAACAAGCTCTTATTTCATCGAATTATGCTAAGTGTACATTTCATTGTGTACATTTTTGTGCGCATTTTATTGTATTTAATAAAAAAGCGTTGGACAGGAAAGTATTTTTTTTATTTTAAACTGTTCAATCATGTATTGTGACGTGACACAATGTCAAAAATGATGTAAACAAAGATGTAGCATGATTGTATTTCATCAGGCGGCAAAGTGCAAGAATCCCTCTTTTTTTACTCATAAGTCATAACCTTTCGGAAAGTCGTGGACTGTAATAGATAAGAAGCCATAATTTCAAAGTTGAAAAAAAGAAAAAGAAGCTACCTTTCAAGGAGAAACCTTTCTTCTCAAATCTGCCAAGGATCTCACCAACCTGAAGCATAACATTTGCCGAAATTTTTAAACATTTCCATTGCAGAAAACACTAATCCACTTCATTTCTTCAATATCACGCTAAGACAATTAAAGTCAAGAATTTTATTTTTTTTCCTTTCTTTTTCCCTTCTTCAAACAAAAATCAATTAGTTCTTTTCTTTTTCTTTAATCCATAATTTCTCTTAAAAAGAAAAGACTTATACAAAAACTTGCCAAACTCATTGATCACTTCCAAATCCAAATAGAACTGGAAAACAAAAACTTACCAAGCCTCTTTGAACGCCATCAGGCTTGATCATGATGAAAGTCTGCTCCATTTGTTTGTGGGATTTTTCTGAGGCAGGCAATGCAGATAAACTTAAATGGATTTTAAAGGCTGATGTTAGAAGAGGATTCTATCTATCCACGTGGGAGACCTCGAAAGCAAAGGTAAAAGTAAAACAGCCCCAGTACCAGTAGTCCATTCTTGGAATATTCAGTCGGTGAACAGTGATCACTTTCCTTTTTCTTTTCTTCATATTTTTAGTGCTTTTTCTTTAGAGAACGCCAAGCATTTGAACCTGATTCTCTTCTTTCTCTCTTTTTTCAACCTTGCATTCAGCATTTTCTTTTGCTAATAATATTTGAAGTTTGGCTGTATCAATGTAAACTTTGGTTTTATTTTATCCTCATATTTCGATAGGAGTTCTGTTAGAGGTTTTGTGAGAGGGCCTAAATGGCATTGTGGAAGCCCAACTTTAATTAGGCCTCTTAAACGGCTTCAGATCCATATTGTGGATCCTAACTTTTAATTTTAATAGGGAAAAAATCATAAATAAGGTGTATAGGTTACACCAATTCAAAATCAGTTATATAGTTTGAAAATTCAAAAATCAGGTTTTTTTTAATTTTTATTTATGAAATAATAAATTATTAAATCAATTTATTATTAAATATTTAATTCTAATATAATATAATTAATACATCCCACATGCACCACCCATATTGCTCCGAGAACTATTCCGGCAACCANGTGGGAGACCTCGAAAGCAAAGGTAAAAGTAAAACAGCCCCAGTACCAGTAGTCCATTCTTGGAATATTCAGTCGGTGAACAGTGATCACTTTCCTTTTTCTTTTCTTCATATTTTTAGTGCTTTTTCTTTAGAGAACGCCAAGCATTTGAACCTGATTCTCTTCTTTCTCTCTTTTTTCAACCTTGCATTCAGCATTTTCTTTTGCTAATAATATTTGAAGTTTGGCTGTATCAATGTAAACTTTGGTTTTATTTTATCCTCATATTTCGATAGGAGTTCTGTTAGAGGTTTTGTGAGAGGGCCTAAATGGCATTGTGGAAGCCCAACTTTAATTAGGCCTCTTAAACGGCTTCAGATCCATATTGTGGATCCTAACTTTTAATTTTAATAGGGAAAAAATCATAAATAAGGTGTATAGGTTACACCAATTCAAAATCAGTTATATAGTTTGAAAATTCAAAAATCAGGTTTTTTTTAATTTTTATTTATGAAATAATAAATTATTAAATCAATTTATTATTAAATATTTAATTCTAATATAATATAATATAATTAACCCACTCCACCTACACCACCTCGCTCCGGCGACCATTCCGACGATCGTTTCGGCGACTGCTCCGATTCCGACGACTATTCCGATCACAGATTTACAATTTAGTTAGTCACAAATTATAATTTTTATAAGACAGATTATTTTACTGTCACAATTCAAAAATTTTGTAGGTCACAAGTAATTAGTTGGTCACAAATTTCAAAATTAGTTGGTCACAAATCAAATTTTATTGGTCACACGGTCACAAATTTCAAAATTAATTGGTCACAAATCAAAATTTATAGGTCACATGGTCACAAATTTCAAAATTAGTTAGTCACATATTTTTTCAAAGTTACAAATTGTATAATTTTTAGGTCACATATAACAAAATGATTGGTCACGAATTATATTTTAGTCACAGATTACCGAATTTTAAGGTCACGGATTATATTTTTAATCACAGAAAACCAAAATGACCAGATCCACCACCACCTCTGCACTATCGCCACGACCACTAGCACCGCCTCCACGAACAACATCACCACCACCAAAACACCACGACAATCAGTAGTAACACCGTCATTTCCAAAACCACCACCAACACCCAACTGCCACCTTACCGTCACACCTCCAACACCCAAATCATTGTTGCCACAATTAGCTCAAATCGCAGCTTCGTGGCACCATGAACCGCCACCGCCACCACCCAAATCACACCATAAACCGCCATCACAACACAAACACCACAAAAAAATTGAGTCGAAAAATACCATAGCCATCGCCATCGCCATCGCCACAACCACACTAACACCACTGTTGAGAAGGAGACGAGGGGAAGATAGAGATAGCAGAGGCGGTGGTTGCACAGTGCGACCACCGCGAAACACCACAACGCAAAGACCACCAAAAAATTGAATCGAAAAATACCATAGCCATCGCTACCGCCACACCAACACCACTGTTGAGACGGAGAAGAGAGGAAAGGAGGGAGAGGAAGAGGGAGAGAGCAGAGGCGGTGGTTGCACGGTGCGACCACCGCGACGGGGAAATCTGTGCGAGGTGCTCATCGGCGCTTATATCGCCAAAAATTAGATCAAATCCGTCGCGGCTCCGGTGAAGAGAAACTCCCAGTTGCGGGTCATGGCCGCTGCAACTCCGATCGGTGGATGAAGATAAGCTCTGGTGGTGAAGCTCCCAATGCGGCGGTGACAAGAGAGGGGGGGAGAGAGAATTAGGGTTTGAGATTTTAAATTGTGTGGCAAATGAATTAGTTTTTGAATTTTTATATTTAGTAATAAGTTTAACTATAATATTTATTTTTTGAAGATTTAATTATAATATTTAAAATATCAAATACCTGATTTTTGAACAACAAAACATTTATCCTGATTTTTGAACATGGAACTTGAAAGGTAGGGTTCCATGTAATTTTCTCATTTTATTATTTTACATGTTACATTAGTTAAATCTTATCTTAATTTTTATTTTTTAAAAAATTGGAAACATTTAATAAACTACTGAATAAATGTACTAAAGTTTTATTTAGTGATCTTATTATTTTACGAAATGAATAAATTAAATTTTAACCTTGCTTGTCAATTTAATTTAATTTTTTAAATAAAAAATTAATTGTTGAATAACTAAGTAATTTAACTTCTAGCAGAATGGAAATGTTTATTATGTAATTAATTAAAATTTTACTGAATTTATTTGAGTTATTCCACTGGCGGTAACTATTCTTTCACTTATTATCAATCAAGTAATTGTACTTTAATTTGTTTCAATTGTGTAACTACATTACAGGATTTATTTTCTAGAGATTTTATTATAACTATTTCATTTTCAAGCACACGTTCTATAGTACTCATAACTTTTCTATACTTTCTAAACACGTATTTTTAGGAAAAAAAATAATTTTTTACTTGGAAAAATCTCTCCCAAACGAAGGCTAAATTTGATTTCAATTCATCCAATTTCGTAAATCGAACCGACGAAAAACGATGACATGATAGCAAAAATAATAGTAGTTATCTATTTCACTAAAGTTGTACTTATTCCATTAAGTAACTAATGCTTATGTGTAATGACAATCATTTATTTACTGATACATCATCAATTTATGTAAGTGGAATTGAATGAAATTGACTTAATTGAATTTGAATCAAAGATTGAACATATTTGAANATATATATATATATTGAAACTAATGATGATCAAACAAGGGTTAATTATAGAAGATTATCATAATCTTGGTCTGCATTTTTTCTTTAAAAATAAAATTAAAAACATTTTTCCTCTTTTCAAAATTTGAGTTTGTTTAATAAGATTTATCTAGATGTACAAAACCTTGTACAAAATGAATTACAAAATCGCCAAGTGACGTCCCACTATTGGAGGGACGCCTGTTGCGTCAGGCGCCCCTCCAATAGTGGAGCGCCACTTGGCATTTTGTACTTGTAGCATCCTCCTTTCGCACAAACCATAATTTTTTTGTCAAAGTTAGTGAACTTCTTTAAAACGCATGAATGCCATGTCTTAGTAAAACATGTTTTGTCAAAATCCACATCGTTTATACACCATCTATGAGGAGGGACCCTCTCAATTGGTGTGCAAGTAAGCGAACTACTGCCTTGCTAGAAGAGAGTGACTTCGAACTTTGCCCGCTTGGAAGGACGGCACAAATGGAGAAAATATGTTTAATTTGAAGAAACTCTTCTTCTGATTTCCCCTCAGCACCAAGTATAGTGGTTGAAGTTGGGGCTCGTGGGATCTTTAGGCAAGAATCTTGTGACTCACATTCTTTGTCGAATAATATTACCTTCTTTGGAGGGACCGGTGTACATTCAAAAATTCCTGATGCCACATGGTGAGGAACCCACTATCACATGTGCAAAAATCGTTACAAATGAAATAGAATCGAGCAAGACTAAGATATCAAAATGATCGAACCAATAAACGGTAGGCACGAGTCAAAAAGTTATGAAAGGTCAAAAATATCCTTCACTTAATTTTTTAATAAATACCTCGTGTAGATCAGAAAAAGGTACTCAATATTGAATATTCAAACCCTAATCCAAATTCGGTTATTTTATCTCTTCTATGCACAAATTATTATTATTATTATTTTATTTATTTTTTTGCAACTGACTTGATTATAAAAGTGCAAACAGTTACTACGCCATCCACCAGAATGGAAACATTTGGACACTGAAGGTGTTTAAGTGTACAGTACAGGGGAACGTGTAAGTGGACAAAAAGATGACAAGATGTATGTCGACAACTCAATTGATTAGAATTTCTACGCCAATGACATGAAAACTTTCAAGAGGTAACAAGAGGTATGTCGACAACTCAATTGATTAGAATTTCTAGGCCAATGACATGAAACTTGAAAGTGCATTCCTAGTTGCTTTATAGAATTTTCATACCGTGAACTATGAAGCTTTGACTTGTATGAATGTGCGAAGCGTGTTGTTTTACTATAGTTAATTAAGTTAATGGTCAATTAAGTTTTGAGTAGGCAAAACTGATTTCTTGTCGACAGTGGAGATCAAATGCCGACGCCACGTTAGCGGTTTAAAATTGGCATTTTTATTTTTACTTTCACCTAACAAAACCCACCCCACCCACTCCTTCTACTCCCTTTCCCCACCCACCCCTTTCCCAACGACATTTTCCCTTCCCCAATTCGAAGCTCTTTGATCCGTTTCTTCTCCCGTCGTTAATACGATAATATTTAATTATTTTGAT